TACTGCAACGAATGTGGGAGAGGCTTCCCCACACCAAGTACATTAAAAATACATGAGCTTATTCACAGTGGAGTTAAAAAGCACATCTGTGACCAGTGCGGGTCATCCTTCACCACTGCAGGTCATCTCACACAGCATAAACGCGTGCACACAGGAGAGAAACCATACAAGTGCAGACACTGTGACAGAAGCTTCTCACAATCAAGTAATCGTAACAGTCATGAACGTAGACACATGGAAGAGAACTTCAGCTGTGACCAGTGTGACAAGACCTTCAAGAGTCTCAGTTCATACTCAGAACACAAACAATCCCACATTGTCCCCACAGTTTTTCAGTTACCAATGTGCCAAAACATTCACTTCATTATTTGCTCTGTGCAAACATCAACATCAAGCGGACCTGAAGTCACTGGATCACAATGAATCTGAAGAGACAGAAAGATCCTCTTCTGGTTTCAGGGTCAGACTTTAAAACCTTGAGATCAACCTGTAAAGAGTGTCAGCTGATGTCACACTTGGATCTGATGAGGTAGCTCTGATTTCTGGATTTACAGTGAATAATCCCGAATGGTACATTCAGGAAGATAGAAGTATAGAAATCTACATCAAATTCTTGTTTTTCTCTGGTTACCTTTGATATTTCATTTCAAAATAAATGTTTTTTCATGCATTTAGTTTTACTTTAGTGTATTTCCTGTCCTGTTGATCCACATGTTCTGTTTGTCGTTTGTGTTGTGAAATCCTGATACTACTAAAGATTTCGTTATATTTGATTAACTCTGAAGTTTGTTTTATTAAACACTTATTAAATAGTTTGGTGTAAAAAAAATAAAATAAAACTAAATAAAGAAATTGTCTCACAACAAGTATTTTGAGCCATGATTTCAGGTTCAGATTAACTGTTTTCAATGGCACATGTGGAGTGCCATCAGGGGACACTTGGTTGTTCTCCACTCACACTGAACAGGGTTCCTGCAACAAGTAAAAAATTATCTTCAATAAAAATAAATTCGTAAATTTCATCCCAGAACTTTGCTGTGGATAGGTAGTTTGCAGAGGGTTTGAAAGGATGAGTTTACCCTTCCAAACTGCAAACAAACGGTGTGCTTATTAATAACTGAAGTTAGATTACAGGAGGGTAAATTGAGTTTAAGAGTTTTCAGTGTCATTAAGATGACTCTCCTTTTACCTGACTTATATCCCCATGAAAGCTTTCCATGTAAGGGATGTTGACTGAGGTAATGCAGTCGGACACGGGAGGATCCACACAGATACATGACCTCAACCTCTTTAAAGCTTGGAGAGAGGTTCTAGTGAGCCTGGTTAAGTGCAAAGTTCCACCATTCCCGCCTCCCTCCTTTTTGATAACCATCTCACACAGGCCCAGAGGACGGATTGCAACGGTGTTTTGCAGATGTGTTCTCCCCCCTGCCTAACTGTATGACTCATCATCGAGCACCATGCAGTCTGGCGTGATGGTGCATTCACAGCCCTATGTGATGCCTGAACATAAAAGGCAATTGTTCAGAGAGAATTTTCCAAAATGCTGAAAATGGGAGTAATAGAAGAATCGCACAGCGCATGGTCTAACCCCATAGTTGTAGTTGTGAAGAAAGATGGGGTCTAG